ATTCATTCATTCAATCACATTCATTGAGAGCCATACCTGGCATATTTTAGGGGCTAGGGGTACAGCAGTGAACAAAACAAGTTTCTGACCTCAGGGAACTTATCTTCCACATTCTAAAAAATATGAGTTCTCATCTTTGGTAAACATAAATCCTAGGGGCCGGCCCGGTGGCGCAAATGGTTGGGTGCGCACGCTCCGCTGCGGCGGCCCGGGGTTCGCTGGTTCGGATCCCGGGCGCGCACTGACGCACTGCTTGGCAAGCCATGCTGTGGCGGCGTCCCATATAAAGTGGAGGAAGATGGGCACAGATGTTAGCCCAGGGCCGTCTTCCTCAGCAAAAAAAGAGGAGGATTGGCGGATGTTAGCACAGGGCTGATCTCCTCACAAAAAAAAAAAAAAAAAAAAAAAAAAAAAAAACATAAATCCTCAGTGAAAACCAATCAGGAAGTGGAAGTTTCCATACTCAAGTACTCAGAACTGGAGTTGCCTAAATCCTTAGAAAGAAGAATACCAAGACCCCATGGCAGATTGGGCCCAGCAAACGAGGTAAAGACTTGCTGCCTGCCTCTTTATTTCTTTCCCACTAGTCCTGGGCTGGCTTTGTGGAATCTGGCCAAGTGCAACAGACAGAAGAGTAATCTGCTGGAATTTTTGTCTCTAGTGTCAGAGCAAAATTCATCATTCTCTCCAGAAGAGCATGAATTAATTGACCATCATAACAAAACAGAGTCTGCTCCATCCAAATTCCCAGGACTGCATAAACCCTAGAAGATACAACTTCCTTTGAACATATGAATATGTCCAAGAGGCAAACAGAACACACACTAAAAAGGACTTATTAACTGACTATGTCTCCTCATGTCATCTTCCTTTCTTTCTTTCTGACCCATTTGGCTTTTTTTTTTCTTATTTCTTTCCTCTTTGCTCACTAATTTTCATCTGCTTTCCTTTTTTTTTTTTTTTGTGATGAAGATCAGCCCTGAGCTAACATCCATGCTAATCCTCCTCTTTTTTTTTTAGGAAGACTGACCCTGAGCTAACATCCATGCTAATCCTCCTCTTTTTTTTTTTTTCGCTGAGGAAGACCGGCTCTGAGCTAACATCTATTGCCAGTCCTCCTCCTT